TACGTACGTACTAGTATATACTACTACTACACTACACACACTACACACTACACACACACACTATATATATATATATATATATATATATAGTATATATATATATATATATATATATATATATATATATATATGGCCTGTTCATTTCAGCAGCCTGCCTGGACCACCAAGACAGCCTGCCTAAGCAGTCAGAAGGCCAAATTTTCTTTCACTATAGGGAGTTGAAGTTATGGACTGAATTAGATTTTCTTCAAGGATCAGGGGGTACATGGCGGGTGGATATTTGCTAGAAACACCCAAGCTAGAGTGTTGGAAAATAAGATGCTTGCTGGGAAGGAAGCAGCATGAGATGAAAGGCGAGGGGACCTGGTTTAAGGATTACTGGGGTTTGGATTGAGGGATGAGTTAAGGGAAAGAAAGAAGAAGAGCTGACAGGGAGGGAAAGATGTTAGCAAAGGTTTTACTCCCAAGAGAGAGAGAGAGAAAGAGAGAGAGAGGGTAAAGAAGGCGACATGTGATAAATCGATAGAAGAAGGGATGGACGGGCCTAAAGTCTAGAAAAAGCCTTTCCTCTTGGAAGTGACTTCTGTTCCTAGTGTAGCATTGAGGTATTAACCTCATGATTTGTGATGAATCTCTCCTCCTGCATAGACTCTCGCCACAATTTTGAAAACCACATCTTTGTTTCTCAAAATTTCCAAAGATTTGGCATTACCACTTACATGAATATTTATAGAGCCTATCTCTTTATTTGTCCTTCCTAGAAAGCAAGTAATCTAATATTTCCTCAATCTTCCTCTCCACCAAATAACTAACTAGGTTTCCTTCATAGTTTTAGGGAACTAATCCCTATCACAAAATTTAGGAAGATAACGAATTTGTAAAACGAGAAAGAAAATGAAAACACTTCCAAGAAATCAAATTTGCCAAACTCATAACTAGCACAATATTTCTAGAAAAGTTAATCTTTCTAGAAGATTGCCTAGGTTAAACTACAAATTCCTAAAAACTCAAAAGGTGGGATGTGGGGCCCACCCTAGGAGGTAACTGGGGTCCACTTCTTGGCTGGCATGCCAACAGATGGGTGTTGGAGGAAAGTGGTGGCCATGGGCCAAAGCATGCTTGTCCTGATTTGGTACCCTCTCATGGAAGAGATATGGGCATGCATTAGCCTCCTTAGTCGTTGTCCTGATTTGGTACCATCTCATTGAAAAAGCATGTCAAAAAGCTGAAGAGGACCTAGTGAAATAATAGACATCTCATACCATGCTTGGTACCCTCCATAAAATTAGAAAAAATGAAGAGAAGGGACAACCGGCAGTTTCAAGAGAGCATTATTATGATTCATCAAAGCAAAGTTAATTAGTCAGACGATTAAACCACCAACCTATAAGATGTCAGGGATCATGAAGATCATCAAGATACTAGGAGAAAACAAGAAGATTATTGCTGACTAAGGACATTGAAACTTAATTTTAATGCAGATACATTAGCAAGTGTGATATTCTCCCGACACTAAACCAACTTCTTACAGTGTTTGCTAAGTGATGTCTGTAGCAGTGAGTTGAATGGTGAACTTTAATTGAGTTTAGATGTCGCTGTAAAGGGCGAGATTTTAGGCCACCATTTTTAATCAATTTTGGGCTACTGGTTGAATCGAATTATCTTTGAGTTTCATTGTGTAGTTGAACTGCTCTAGCAAGGTGGTGCATGCTACTGCTCAAGTAGCTCCGAATAAACTACGTTGTGATACACAGAGCATTCAAACAAGCACCGTCAAATGAACACACACACATGCATGTGGCTTTGTAAGGATGCAAGTGTGGGCGTTTAAATGTATTGACATGAACAGAGAAAATGTGGGTGTGTGTGTGTTCAAGCACGCATATACATATCTAAATACATGTAAGTGAGACTGTAAGACGCCACGCACAACTATATGGTACATGCACCGAAAAAGAAAGAGACATTTCTCAATAATATGTGAAGGCAATAAATACAGACATTTCCCAACAGTGTCATGGCAGTAACTTGTATAAAGAAATGAAAATAAAAAAGCATCCTTAAGATTGGTGAAAGTTGCGCAACAACACTTGAAGACCAACTAAAAACAAAAATTGGACATACTGAATCATAGAACAACAAATGAGAACCCAGGTGAACATACCTTTTCCTCTTTCTTCTTTTTCCTTTCCAAATCTTCTTCTTTAGCTCCATTGGGGTGCTCTTTTTCCTCTCTCTGCAATTAAATCCAAAAAAAAACTAACATTTAATAAATAGTTGTCAACGTAGCAAAGCAGCAAAAGTTGAAGTGTATGGCTTAAATATGTCAGAAAAGATGGAAACAAGATACACAGACAATTCAACCTTCCCTGTTTATGCTACGAAGGCTTATATCGCAAGCATTAACTTCTATAACACCAAAAAATGAGATGGTTTGAAGAAAAGGGCCCCAAAGTACAAATAAGCGAGCATAACCAACATGAATAAATTGAATTATAAACTAAACGAATGATTTATAAAAGTAGATCCAAGAAGAGGAGTACCTGAGCCATGATGCCCGGATAAAGAACCCAAAATGTTAGAAAACCTATGAAAATAAGAAGCAAGCAAATTTATTGCAGATATAAACATCAGCAGGGTAAATCAACTTGAGTGGCATCTGTATCAAAATAAAGGCCGGAAAAAATTCGGAATATATATATATATTATATTTACCCAATAAAGTGAACAAAAGGAAAAGTAAGCAACAGTTTCCTTCGTGCTATGGCCCAAATTAGGGTTCCAACCTCTCTGTGCTGATGAGGTAGAAGAGGATCGCTGTGTTTGTTAGTTAAGCAACAAAGCATGTAAATTCGCTCTACGAATCACGTTACGACAAGAAATGGACTGTTGATATGCACTGGGAATTTGAGAAAATCTTCAGGTAGTGGGGACATAAGAAGAATTCATGACTCTCTCGTTTTAGCCTCACAAAGAAAAACCAAAGAAACCCAATAAGGTTTTATAGCATGCTCTTGCGGGAGCACACTGTACATTAACTATATGGGTTGAGATGCTACTTGAGAAATTTATTTTATCCCAAATATTGGATCCACTAAAGAATCACTAGATAAAAAGTTCAAGTTTGAGTTCTTCATCATTTAGATCTTGCCCTCCAAAACTTGGATGATCTGTTTTTAATCATAGAATATTAGTTTTTCAATCATATTGAATGTGCAATTTGATTTTTTTTTTTTTTTTCTTTTTGAGGTTCATTTCTTCAAGTAATTGCATCCCCTGAAATTGGGAATCATAAAATACTCTTAACTAGTATTTTTCTGTAGGGAGCAAATAGATAATATGCGTCCTTGGCAGCATTACAATACTCTAATGACTACCGTCTCTATTTATTTGCCCCTTATTTAAATAAGACATTAAAATAAAGTATTAGAAACTCTGTATATACAAGAAATTACAGGATATAACAATGATATTATTTCTTTATTTTCTCTCGAATTGACGAACATGAGAAAAAATTCAATCCATTAGAACAAGAACACTAAGGAACAGTAAAACAATCCTTCTGAAAATAGAATTTCATTTTAACCAAGAATAATCCTTGACCCAAAAAACTAAAAAAAAATTAACATAACTCATTGATCCCAAAAATAAAAATAATAATTGTCATATTCAATACCAAGTTCTCACATACTTCCATAAACCAGGAGAACACCAGCAAAGGCATATATATAAAGAAATAAAATAAAAATAAAACAAAACAAGACAAAACATCAATGGATCAAGCATGTAAGGAAAGGATTATTCAAAACATTAAGCTCTTTATAGAAGCTCAATAATAAACATTCAAAAAGTATAGAAAACTGCACAACATAAATGTCAGTACATCAAACAAAGGACCTCCCTAGAACTGATTCACCACAGCAGTAATCAAATCTAAAAAAATAAAAATAAAGATTTGCAACATACCTTGTTAGCTAGTCGCTTCTTTGGAGTCTTCCTTCTAAGGAGACTTGTCAATAATCTTCTTTAGTATGAGGTATTATTCCTCTTCAATACTTTAGTAACAAATTATCTGTGATTTCAACCAAAATAAAAATAAATAAGTGAACAAACTTGGGAACCAAAATCAGGGTTTGAATTACGATAGATGTGCGAGGGGATTATTCCCTTGATCTTCCAAATTTCTGAGCTAGAGACACTTGAGTGAGTTTTTTGGATTGAAGAGGCCTTGGAGATGGGATGCTATGGTGGTCTAAGGTTTATGTAATGGTACACCATAGGCAAATTTGTGAAGGCTTTCGGTGCTTTTGGCCTTGAAAAGGCCAGAGTAAGGTTCTTGGAGTTACGGAGGATCCTAAAAGGTTTATGGTTAGGATTTTAACACTTAGGGCTCATTTGGTTCATGCATAAAGTTTGCATATGTAAAACAATTTTCATATGTAAACAGTTCCCTGTGCAAGAGTATTCCAATCCTGTTTTTTCCCGTATTTGCTTCACATGTCTGGAATTCATGTGTACCCAGTTTCCTATGTCTGGTAACACATTGGTAAACTCTCCCAAAATCTGGATAAATACCTATTTTTAACCCTTCAATTGCATATATCAAGTTAACTATTCACTTCAATTCTCCTACTTTCGGGGACGTTAGGTGTCCTACCCTAGCTGCATTTCTCTTAAGAAGTTTTCTCCTTTTCCTCAATTCCAATTTTGCTATACCATTACCATTACAAATCACATTTTCGAGGCAAAACAAACTTGATGAATAATCAAACTGCAATCCATACATACAAATTACGAGTTATAATAGTACGAATGGTGTAATTCAGAAAATTTTATAGAAAATACATTAATAAAAAGGAGAAATCATATCAAATCGAAAAAGTAGGCATAACCCATCTTTCCTTTTCCTCTTTTACTTTTTAATCTAAGGACAAGACTTAAGAAAATCATATAATATAACTATAGAAGACCAATAAGCATTCAAAAGAAAACGCAATTTCACAAACACAAATCCTCACTAATTTAGCAACCATAAATTTCATAAAATTGACCTAATTGATAAAATTGACCTAATTGATAAATTGATAAAATGCAGCTAAAAGAGACCAATATAATATAAAAAAAAAAGTGAATAAATAATGAAAATATTCACACCCAGAATCAGGCCTCTCTTTGAAGTCACTTGATCATTTTCCAAAGATTGCGGGGCCAGCTCCACTTGATCATTATCCATCGACCAATTCAATAGATAAACAAAATACAAAGTGGGTTTTCAATGGATTACTGAAAAAAACAAATGACTGTTGATTTTTTCCCTTCTGGAATCGTTATTGCAGTGGAACTAGGAGGTTAAAAGTATTCTATAAAAAATAAACTGCCTCCATTGGGGCCCCAAAAAAAAATCTGAAAGGAAAAACCAGGAAAAATAAAACAGAAAAAAACCGATACCCAATTCTTTAACCGATTAAAATAGAGCTTCAATGAAACAGAAAAATTTTAAAAGAAAAAAACTTCAAAAAATACAAGAACAAACTAGAAAATACAACAAAAAAAAAAAGCCATACCCTTTCTACATAGCAACAAAAAATAAAAAACCCAATAGTAAAAGAAAAACTAGTAAAAAATAAAAAAACCAATAGTAAAAAAAAAAAACCAGAAGAAATACAACAAAGAAAACCTATAGCACTTTTTTTTTTTTTAAACAGAGAATGGAATGTTGTTGTGCATTTACCATGAAGAATCCCTATGCTATTGTTATAATTCCGGTTCTATTTACCCCAAGTAAGCAAACCCACATATTCCAGTTAAAAGAAATTTGTTTTTGCCATTAGATGCTGACAAATACAGCACCCCGTTAGGAGAAATTTGTTTTTTCCATTAGATACTGAGCAAATAGAGCACACCATCAATCTCATTGAGTCATCAACAGCCTCATATGCAATGATTTATCTTCAACCAAAAAATAAAACAAAAACCAGCAAAAAAAAAAATTAAAGGGAAACCAGCAAAAAGTAAAAGGAAAAAACCTTACCTTGTTGAAGATGATTAGAGTTCAGAAGTGATTCTCGTTTGAGAAAGACCGCGATAATAGTGGAGAGCGAAGAGCAGAGTCGAGGAAGACGACACAGGGGGTGAGAGAGAGTAGTGAGCTTTTGAGAGGCGCACTGCTTTTCTTTTCCGTGGTTCAGGCCACACGCTAAACCCTCTTTCCTTCTTTATTTCGGGTTGGAACCCCGGGAGCCCGTTAACTTGCAGAGTGCGGTTTGTATAGAGCCGAGGCCCTAAACAATCAAATTAGAGCCCACTTTCAATTAACGTCGGGAAATGTGGTTTATGAAAATCTATCTGTTAGACTTAAAATATATTTTTATATTGAATTATAAAATTTAAGGCTTCAAAAACAGCATAGATTGAAAAAATCTATAAAAATAAAAAAATCTTAAAAATTGAAGGTCCAAAAATACGGTACGAGATACATTATTTTTAAAACATAAAATTCATTTATTCCTCATGTTCATGCATCTTAATGTCGAGATGATCAATTTGATGATATTTTAACATTAAAATAAGCTATTCTAATAAATTTTTTGATGTAGGCTCTAATTTAGAGCTTGAAGTTTATATAAACTATTTCCTAACTGGTTTTCGTATGATTTATGGCCCACATTGGTAAAGCCTTTTTCCCATGACACGAGTTTTCATGGGCCCTTTTACACAAGAATGTAATCATATGCTTTATATGAAAATTCCTTCGTGCTATAAGCTGGGCCGCAGTTTATATAAAGGCAAGGCTCTAAACACTCAAGTAAAGCGCATCTTTAAATAGTGTCGAAAAATGTGGTTTCAATACCTTAAAATATATTTTCATCTCTAATTATAAATTTAAAGCTTAAAAAATAGTGTAGATTGAGCATATTTATTTTTAAAACTTGAAATTCATTTTTTTCTCATATTCATACATCTTGATGTTGAGATGGATCAATTTGAAGATCCTTGAACATCAAAACAACCTCTTCTAGAAAATTTTTTGATATGAGTTCTAATTTGATCGTTTAGAGCATCGGCTCTATATAAATTTTTTCTTATGAAGTTTTCATGTGGACTAAACGAGCTCTTAGGTTTTCTAAGGCTTTAAGGGCAAAAAGGTAAATTTGGGGAATTAGGGTAAAACTTGAAGGGTATGTATCCTAAAACCACCTCAAGATGGGTAAATGCTATTGGGCAAGTAAGGACTCAATTTGAGCGGCCAAGATTTCTAAAATCTCTCATTTTCATGTTGGAGGTCAAGGACAAGGTCTTCCACGCCCTCTATTGGCCCCTGGTTGACCATTTCAAGATTTAAAAGTGGGGTTTTGGGAGTTTGGGCCATTTTATATATTAATTGCATTGTTTAAAAAAACGCGGGAAATCGCCATGGACGGATCGAATCGATGAAAAAAACGGGAATCGTCGGTTCTAGAGAGAACCGGACAATTCTGCACAGTGACTCGCCTATTCACTGTACGGAATCGGTGAGTCCCGTACGGAAGAACAGAATTTATTTATTTATTAATTATTATTATTATTTTTTTTTTTTTTTTTTTCGGTTTTTTTTTTTTTTTTTTTTTTGTAATCCATG